ATTAATCTAAGGGTTTGTCCGACTTATGCCCAAAGTTCAATAAATGCATTTTTTTATAATTAATTTACATAAAAAATAATAAAAGTTTACTTTTACTTCAGTGTTATTGTCATGTGTATAGTTTTAATTAGTCAATTAATTAAATTCAAATTAATTTTTATCATTTTTTATATATTAATTACAAAATGATGCATTTATTGCACTCTTATCCTATGCCCTTAGAAAATCCCTTAATCTAAACCTTTATGAAGAATCCCATGTTTGCTAGATGCAGTAATGCGATACCTAAAGACCTAGCAAAATTAATTGCAAAGCCATTTCACAAAAATCCCGGGCGGGCAATTTGTATAAAGAGCTTAAATTAAGTTGACTTTTATTTTTACTTTTTTCAGAATAGTTAAACTTTATGGACAATTAATTTTATTTTAAAATTGACTAATTTATAGATTATATTGCAATAAATTATTTTTCTAACGAAAGTTGAGCAGAACAAATTAAGGATGGATTTGCTAAGCCCGATGACAGTTTAGGGACTTATTAATTTGAGTAAAAATTAATAAAGGAGCTAGGTTGTGCATGTAATTGCGTTAAAAAGGGCTAACCAGAAATCGTAATCATTTTTGCTCTTGACAATTCATATATTGCTATATTCTCCAACGATCTAATTACTGCATGAAAAGTTTATGATAAGAATTCCATCTTTAGTCATAAAATTAACTTAAAATGTAATTCCCATATATATATATATAGTATGGATACTGATGGTATATATTTTTTTTAATATATCGTACAATATATGCATTAAAAAATCATTATTTCTAGTTATGAAATTAAAGACAAAGAAACTTAAAATTGTATCTATGCATACAACATGTAGGAACAGGCCTACAACATGTAGGAATAGGCCGAATTAATTGTACATATATTTTATTTTAATTATTAAACTGGACATGTATCAAAAAAATATGTTAAAATAGGTAAATGTCATACGTGGACATTAGCATCACCATATAATTAATATATATATATATATAGTGTTTTGCTTCTAAGTGGAAATATCTAAAATAATCATATTTTAATTAATATTTAAAAAATCATTGGATTAAAAAATCTAGTCATGTAGATCATGTATGTTGATTTTTAAATTGATTTAGCAAGTTTAATTAGTTTGTTTATTATATAAAATTTAATATCATTAAATATATGTTAATAAATAAAGTTTGTTTGATTAAATGATTAAAAATATTAGATCAATTTAAAATTTAACATATATGATTATATAAATATAGAAATAGCTAGGGACCATAAACAGCCCATACCTTTATTTTCCAACAAAAGAAAAAAAATCTAATCCACATTGTTGCATTTGATGGGGATGGGATGATTTTGTAAATTTTAATTCCTCTTTTCTTATGATTTTAGATTTTTGGTATATATTTAGTTTAACACTTTCTGACACTTGCCTAGGTTTAGGTATTAAAATATAATATAAGTATAGTTGATCCAGTCAATTCTTCCATCCTATATGCATAACTACATCTCTAAGCTTATCTGCTTTTAATTTTAGACAAGAAAATAGTGATTTTTTAATACGTATGTTGTATAGTGTACTCAACTAGAGTGTATAGCAATTAATTTCTTTTTAGTATTAATTCTCTTTTTTTATATATAAAATATATATTTTTTTTATGAACTATCAAAAACTCAAGCAAATTAGTACTCAATAA